TTATTATTCTAACGTATAGATACATAATATGATGTATGATCATGAAAATGTATGTATCTAATCCTGTTGATTTATGCTCGCAGGTTCTTCAAATATAATTTGATCAGTAATTAAATGTACTGACATACAAACATCTTATCATGTAATTGACTGAAGCAAAACATGTTGTCGTTAGATTTTAATTCATGTTGCTTACGAGGCTTATATAAACATATTATGGCACGATGTATTTAATAGTTATCTAGGTCGTATAGTATAATAATCTTATCGAAAATATTAATGTGTACGCAYATTTAAAAGTTAAAACTAAAATTAAATTAGGAAAATAGTACATGGCAAAAGACATAACAACGATAGATAAATTTGAAGTTACGAATTTGAAATTCCCATAAGAGTATAAAAATAGGATAKCTAAAATTCGTAGTATGTATGTTTCTCATAGATTTAAAATAAAAATTACTTTTAAGTTTTAATAAATTTATGAATTTCGATCAAACTGCCTTGGTGTATTTTAGTAATTAAATGAATTTAAAAAATGATATAATTCTAAAAAAATAACTTACGGAACAATCGCATAAAATATATTTTTTAAAGTAAATTGTATTATTTTTGTTTAAGTGACTTTTTTCAATGTTTTTTACGCRTGTGACCACATTTAAATGGCCAATGCACTGGTCATAAATCATAATGAAGTATATATGATATATCTATATATTATCCACCCTTTCTTATTAAAGTTTCTACCCTATGTCCATGCGTGCGATATAGGTTAACCAAAAATGTGTAACAATAACCAAACCTGACCTATTTAATACATGTTGTTTAAATCACAGAATACCACTGTCCCTATGTTAGCCATCACGTCGGATTATCTGACAACATGAATGAGTACAAATGAAAAACTTGCTTACATAGGTAGATCGTGTTGTGCGAACCATGAAGACCGGAATCTAACTACCACGGGTCTACATCACTTCTTAACCTTAACCTTAATAAATTAGCACAATAATTTTGTTAAAAGGATCAGCCATCAGTATATTGTTTGTTTTCTCTCTCTAGCATGTACAACATAAACAAAACGCATTTTTTAAAAATATTTTAAGGTGTCTTGAAGTAAAATCACCTGTAACAAACATTATAGAGAATAATATTTATATTTTTGAGTTRATGRTATTACCAATATCGACTAGTCTAATTGTATCAAAGCAATTAAATATCCATTTTAACAAACAAAATTTATTTTTAATTTTTAAAGTCAAATAACAWTGATATTTAAAACCAATATGTCAAACGCTCAGTTTTGTAATAAGTGACTTTCCTCTAAAATTACTCAAAAATCACAAAAAAACAATTTTATGTGGATGTGTTTGATCTGTGTTGCACTTGAGTCTGAAAGAGAAAACAAATACTGCGCTGACAATATCCTTTTTAGCATTACTATCAGTCTGCAAAGCATGTATCACGTATTCACGTATCATGTATCACATCGTCAAATTCCATATTTTTGTTTTTGTTTATCGTGTATACATTTATAATAAATAGCTAGTTTTCATTTTTAATATTTACTACTTTGGTGACAAAATAAAAATCCATCCGTGGAATTAAAAAATATATATAATTATTAATTGCACAGAATGAATAATCCTCTTATTTAAATTCTACAAAATAATATATTTCCTAGGTATACTATGTTTACTATGTTTTATTATTTAAAATTGGAATTCATTTTTGGTACTTTTAAAAGACATATATATATGCGATGTATGCACTTTTTTCATAAAATACTTAATTGTTTAGGTTCTGATGGTTGCGAGGACGGTGTATCAGGAAGGTTCGAAACGRCTCAACAACAAGAATCTCACCGGCAAACTCAGCTACAAATGCATAAGCCTTTTCACATACGACACCAATCACCTGCAATTGTAAAACAAGATTCCATGCCATCGTTTTTACAACAACAGCCTTTTGGTTTATTTGGTCAAGGTAAGTTTAATTATTTATGATATTGACAAATGCATTTTAAAATCAATTTGTAATTAGGGAATGTTGGCTTAAACTTTAAGTTTGTCATATTTGTTTAATTGAAATCAATTGAAATTATTTTGTCGATTACAAATTATTATTATAGTTAAAGGTACCTACTTAATCAATTTTATAACATACACTTCACCTTATAATTTACCAAACTAACTTAGTCTATAAATTTAAATAACATTTAAAACTCTTAAGAAAGTACATAATAACATAATATAATATGTTCTATATAAATAATTAATATTAATATTGGAGTTGTTGTACCACATAATTTACTTTCATTCTACATGCATTGATTCTAAAATATAAAATCAAACAATTACTAATAATGACTGATGAGTCATACGAATTTCAGATTAAAATAAATTGGGATTTATGGTTGTAAATGTTGAATGAACAAAAATAACATATAGGTAGTTAGTATAYATTAATAATATTATATACGTTATATCCTTGTATATATTTATAACTATAATATAATTAATATAAATAAATGGTAGGTATTCTTCGACGAAAGTCATATCGACAATTCGGTCTTGGGGGTATATATTCGTTGCCCTGATGCTATATRTATACAGTATACAGTATACACTTACTGAATTTCCCCTTCGGCTCTTTCRGTTTCAAATATAAAAGCCAAGACCAAGAAAGCATTTAGCTGAAGGGGAGTACGCGTATAGAGTAAAGGGAGAAAAAAAGAGAAAAGAAAAAGGGGRAAAAAAGGAAGAAACGACTTTCCCCTGAAGATTCTCCTCTCCCCAACATGCACTGGCGTCTTAAAGCTCCCGCGTTATTTGTAATGGTTCCCATACAAAACCCTTAACCCCACCCCACACTTCCCTATATAATGCCCGTCCTAGTCTGAAGAATTTAATATTAAACCCGCGCCCGCTGTGATCGAAGGCTATATACGAACAGGGGGGATAATCCCTCGTCCCCGCGCCACCGGTTTTATAGCTGTCAAAGGGATTTGTAGAGGGGGAAACGTAGCCCGTAGAAGGAGACGAGGGGTGATAGGGACCAATAAAGACGCGGGTGGGTGACACGCGTACACTCCCCGATGCTACCACACCCTCTCCATCCGACGTAGTCTCCGATCATTTTGCCAAGAGAAGAAAATAATAAACGCGCGTATTAACGCCCGCGGGGACTTCCTGCGGTGTGACCTCCACTCACACACACACACACACACACACACAGGCGTGCGCGCGCGTCACCTCGTTTCCTCGAAGTCTGCACGCCAATGATGAGTTCTAGCTTATACAAATAATATAGACGTAACAATGACGTTTGTTTATTTTCCTCAGCTGCAAGCCAGTGGCGTGGAATACGGGTTTTGTCATATTTTTTCCTAAATTRTTATTGCCTTTAAACCGTTTTTATAGATAGGAATAAACTATAGGTATGATTTATGTTTCCAAATGTATATACGATGGGACATATAGTTAGTCTTTTAAAAGATAAATTTACACTATTTTACAGTATTAAATAATTTAAATATTTATAAATTGTGTCATTTATTGCATGAATTATATGAATTGAATAACTTAAATCCACAATTTTTACTCAAAAAATGCAAACATATTTATTTATTTTACCATTTTTCCAACAACCTTCCATGGTTTTATGAACTATTTAAMGATTGTAAAGACAACAAARAAAATCATAAAGTTAAAGGTTAATTACTAAAATAGGATTATTCGTAACAAAATAGATACTTTAGAGTTCTTAATATTAGCTGATTTAATATATAGACTTTATTCTACTTCAAAATTATAGACGTTAATACGTTACACTCATAAATATATAAAACAAAATTTAACTATTATCTAATCTGCTTATTTTTATTTAATAATTTTGATAAACCAAAGTCTGTCTATTAAGCGTAGACTTGCAAATAGAATTTGAGTACGAAGATTTTTTTTTAAATACTTAAAACATCTTTAATCTTGTTAAATTAATTTAATTATTATTCAAAATTAAAGTATATGTATTATAAATTATTTATAATACTATTTGAGAAATATTTTCAAATTATTTTTTAGTACAATATTACGTATTTGAGTATATTCTGAAGCATTTTTTTTAATTACCTACACGTTCAAACAACGCGAATTAATAACAAATGTTTATAAACATTTAATGTTAGATAATAATAATAATGTAACCAAAATTAAATTCAAATTATTAAATTATTGACGTACCTAACTCTACACTGTCATAGATAAGTCATAACTAGTAAGTWATTRGTCGGTACTAATGTTGTATTATTAAACTATCCGAGTTGTATATAAACTAAATGTGATGTATCTATGTTGTGTAATATTGTTTGCCATTTGAGCACCTAGGTAGCTGTTATAAGTTTATAACATTTTATTAAATCCCCATTTATCGGACAACGTTCGCGTTGTTAGTGTTTTATTATATAAGACATTGGTGTTGAAAGGATATATATTTGTATTAGGTAGTATGTAAAACTTTAACTTTTAGTAATTAAAATTTAAAACTCAGATTTTGTTTTTGATAGGTACTAAGTTTTTGTTTTTAAAATAACTTAACTTTTTTTATGTTATACTGTATCAGACAATTATACCTGTAACCTTACAGTACCTTCCCCTATAGTTCCCCAGGCTAATGACCTCAGTTGTCGAAGCCCTAACCATAAAAAAAAAATTATACCTGTCTTGAATAACTTTTCATCAAGTTCTCCAATAATATTTGTGATGATCGATCAAATTTCATTGGCTGTTTGAAATGAAATATATTTGTTAGGTACCTATAGTGTTTGATTTCCTTGTGCTTTTAAATATTTGAGTACAGATCTTATTTCACTTTTTATATTTTCGGAAGAATTTTCATTTGCTGATTGATAATTACCTATATCTTTGGAAATAAATAATATCAAAATTAAACTTACCAATATTCTATTTAGACGTATAAAGCGTGCCGTATACTAAAAAGTTTCACCTTTCAAATATTTATTCTTATTAAATATTTGAATTTTATTATTATTTTTTACAGTAAAATGTTTATTATTATTTTTCACGGTTATTAAACGACAATAATTTATGAAAGACATAAATAATTATCAATAATTATACTGATAAATCGATAATTAAATCATTTCTCCAGTGTTTTGATTTTTTATGATATGAACCAAAAAAGGTTTGATACCAATCATGTTTTGCTATAATATTTTTTTTTCAGTATCTGTTACACAAACCACAATAATTTTACTTAGATACTTATTTTATTAAGTTGTATAAATATTTTTCAGTTTTACTTATTTATGTCGATAACCCCGACTCCTTAAACCTTAGCTAATCCTTCATCTGACTGACAGTATTGTTATTATAACTAACCAATAACCATCATGCATTTTATAGATAAAATTAAATGGGAAAAAAGTTAACCTTACTACTATTAACGATTGAGTTGATTACCTAACTCCCATAGTTGCATAGTCTTACAACTTTGCTAGTACCTGTCTATATTGTTATATTATTATACTTTAACTTCATAAATCATTTTTTTTTAGACTTGAACAACCGCCAAGAACCAAATTACATAACACCAGACATTATGTTACCTAAACACATTTATGGT